TGCAAAGAATCCGAAAGAGAGAAATCGCCATCACGTTCTTTTTTGTTTTTTTTTTTACACTGGAAATCACCGATGTAATGTGATTTGCGAATACAGTACCCGAGTTTCGTTTTTTTTTTCTTTTCTTTTAATATACACTGGAAATCACCGATGTAATGTGATTCGCAAATACAGTACCGGAGATTTCCGTGGAACAATATAGTTGTACTTGCATCAAACAACGGGTGCGAGCGGTCCTATAGTGCGAAAACGGGGTCAGATACATACGAGGCGGCAAACAGGGAATGACGGCCGGATAGTTCTTCTGCGTGATTACGGAGTTAAAGCCATCACTTTTGCCTTCTGTGTAGTTGGAGAACGGCGCGACGAAACCCTAAGCCATGGCCTATTTAAAAAAAAAAAAAAAAAAAAAGAATAATAACCCTAAGCCTGCCTCCCTCCGCATTTCAAAACCGTTCCGCAAGCCCTCAAACGAGGTGCCTCGCTGACGTCAACAAGAACACCTTGATCGATAGAGAGGCGATCATTGTGCTGACGTCAACAAGCAGCCCAGACGATCCCCAAATCTTCTCCTCTTATTTTTTTTTTTTTTCTCTTTCCACCTTTCAAAATTGAAAAAAAAAAAAAAAAGGTCTGTCGCTGACATCAACAGAAAGCCAACCCTCGATCGACGGAGGCGTGATTGCGGCTGTCTCTTATACACATCTAGATGTGTATAAGAGACAGGAGTCATTGTGGGAGGGGGGGAAGGGTGGGTTTTTGTAAATTGGGGAAAAAAAATGGGGAATATGTGGCAAAAGGGAAACAAAAAAAAAAAAAAAAAAAAAAAAAAAGATATTCCAGGGGTGGGCAGCGAGAACGAGTCATTGTGGGAGGGGGGGAAGGGTGCTGGACACCTATTATTGGAGGCGAGAAGAGTGTCCTCCCCACGGACTTTGTTCATGTAAAGGACATGCAACTTCATGCCCAAGCGTCCCTTGTCCTCTCCCCAAACCTTACCCAAACTCTACCCGGACTGCCAGATGCACCCACCCCCCACAGATCACGCTTCCCCTCCTTCCCACAGCGACTCATCCCTTCTGTTCATCCCTTCGACGTCACAATCCCCAGCCCAATACGGACGCCCTTCCCCTCCTCCCCCACTGCCCCAGTCACCCCCCCGTCGTTTGTGTCATTTATGCCCGCGGAATTGTTTTTTAGCTCCCACCCAGATTGCCCTATAACTCGAACATGACGAGGGCTCCGGAGGGCTGGTAAGAGGTCCCAGGAATCGCCTACTAGGGGAGAAGGTGGTTCTGTAGCTGTTTGGGGCTGTTATCAAGACGACGCTGGTCGGAGCCGAGGTGGGTTGTTCCACCCTGTAGCCTAGCGGATGGGAGTCTTCTAAGGCAGGTCGCGCTGCCTCGTAACCTAGCAGTTGGGGGTGTGAGGCCTTGAAGAGTCTTGATATCGAGGAGGGAGGTCGAAGCAGGTTGAGGTTCAGATGGCTGAGCATCATCCACTCTGGTTTGGTTTTTGCTGGTTTTTCTTAGGGCCTTAGTCATTAGTTACTTGGGCTTCCCCTAAGTTTTCGGCTGCCTAGACAACCTTCATCTCGCGAAGTATGTGGTGGAGGAGATCGGCTTGTCGCGAGAATGAAGAGGAATGGGAGTTTATGAGGGTGCTGTCTTTGCGATGGCAGGAGGGGGCAGAGATCGAAGTGGGGGCGATCTCAATGGCTGAGTGGTTCGATGACATGTCCCGGGACATGTTGGATGTCATCTGGGAGCTGGAAGAGGGGCCGGATCCCCAGCTCGAGGCCTTCATCGACTGGAGGCACGAGGATGACAGCATTGGAGTCTGCAAAGCACTCTTCGCACAGGGTTGCCACCTGCACGATCAGCTGAAGGGTCGCTCGTGGACAAGGGATGACGAATATCCCTCTCCGGATCGGCAGGAGAGGGGCAAGACGACCGCAGATTGGTTGTCGTCGAAGGGCGAGGAAGAAACTGCGGCAGCACAGGCAGCGACGGAGACAACAGCGGCAACGGCAACAACAACCTCAACAATAACATCAGCAACATCAATAAAAACAACGATGACGGCTATGGTGACAATGGCAGCAAGCGCTGTCATACCGGCACAACACGGAGAACTCGCCGGCAGTGTCGATGATAACAGCGGTAACAACAAAGACAACAGCGGCAACATCAGCAACAACAACAATAGCGCCGACGGCGCCGGCAGTGGTGACGGCAACGACGGCAATATCAACGACAACAACAGCGACAGCAATGACAACAGTAGCGACATCAACAGCAACAACGTCGGTGACGATAATGGCTGTTGCTACCCTTCCCCCCTTCTGTGTGTTGTCTCTTCCTGATGATCCGCTCTTCTTCGCGCTTCGCCGAGTGGGAGTGGGATAGACCACGGCTCTCCATTGATTGGGGTTGTCCAGCCCTCGATCCCCAACTATGACGACATGTTGATTGTCCCCACTGCAGGGACGGTGGTTTGTTTAGGGAGTTGCGCTTTGAGGCGTTTGTCTGTTATGGTGATTCCTTTACTAAGGTCTTTGGTTGCGTGGGGAGGAGATCAATCCTTCCCTTATTTTGGGAATTAATCAATGCCTTCTGCTCCAAAGAGAGATATACACATGCTACGAACACCCTCACACAATACTGTGTGTATAAGGGATGCTGGACCCGATTTCCAGCCGACACATGTCATTCTATAGGGACGCTGGACCCGATTTCCAGCAGTTGCAGCTCCCCACCAATAGATGGAGCCTTCAACGTCGGGACCCACTTAAGGGGGCTGCTCTTATCACCTCGTTAAGTGGGTTTTCCCGCATATGCAGTTTTCTCAAACAAAAAAGAAAAAAGAGGAATGGAGGTACGCTACTACTCGTCGTGGGCCCCGGTGAGCCAACCCTTCTACTGCTCCTCTTCTTGCAAACTATGTGGTGGAGGTCCCTGGAGGAGGTTGGCTCGTTGCCAGAAGAAGCAAAGTAGAGATAGTTTGCAGGGATGTGCGACGGTAGGTAGGGCAATGAGTATAGGCGGCGAGAACAAGTCAGCTATGACTGATGGTTAAAAAATAATTCTATTTTGCGACTGGGTGGACTTCTTCTATTCTTCTTCTTCAAACTATGTGGTCGAGGAGGTCGGCTCGTTGAAGGAAGATGAAGAGTTGAAGTCTGCTTTTAACCATGATGGCATGATGGATTGCGGAGGTTGCTTGCCTACTGTTTTTATCTTCCGAACTATGTCACAGTGGTGGAGGAGGTCGCCTTGTCAGAAGATGATGAAGAGTAGGGGTTTGTAGGGAAGTGGGAGGATGGTTTCTCAATTTTCGCAGCTTGATTTGGAAAAAGAGGTTTTCTCACGAGTAGCTGGTTTTAACAGGCGGGCAGTTTATTCAGGTTTTCTAAAATTTCTTGGTTTGTTCTCAGATTCTCTCTGGTGAAGCGGAGTATCGGTCTTGGTATTTCAGTGCCTGTAATTTCATATGGGGCGTTGGGCCCCGTTCCCAGCACGTGCTGCTCCCCATGAATAGATTGGAGCTTTTGTCCAAAAAAAAAAAAAAAAAAAAAAAAAAA